AAAAATATTTAAGATTCAAGTACAAAATTGAGTTCAATTGTATTTACAATACAAATTTAATAAATCTAAAATTATAAGGATTGAATTTTATAAAAAAAAAAAAACACTAAAACGTGTTCATTTATTCAAATTTTTTTCTTCAAGTCAAATAAACCGTTATTTGCGTGACAAATGTTACATTTTATTACCTTTTTTTCTATATTATTTTATTACCAGCGTAGCGAGATAAAATGACGATATATTTATGCTACATAACGGCCTTCCTACGTTTGCTTACAACCTCCAGCAGACCAAAGCTATTACGAGCGCCGCCTGAACCCTGACCGTCAGCTTTTATTGGCAAATCTTTATGTTTACGCTGCATGGGAGTGTAGTGAGTGGCATAACCTGCCTATATTTTCGTTGGGAGAAAAAAGAATAAACATCAAAAAAGAAAAATAAATGACGCATTGTAAAAATTTCGTCACTGAAAACCGGATGGTGTTGCATGTTTCTAGGGGATTTAGGACGAGATGACCCGTGTTTATTATTTGTGTTGTAAATTTTTACGTGTCACAGTCGATATAATTTCAGAAATAAATCAATACGAAATCTAATATTATGACAAATTTATTATAGAAAAAGTTGGGAACAAGCGAGTTGGAGGTCATAACTTATAAGCTCATAGAAAATGTAGACATCGTATATTACGCTATATTGGATACAATATTTTACACTTTGCAACGTATAAAAACCACTATTGTAAAGGTTATTACAGTGTTGAAAAAACTTTATTAAGGCAAACAAAAGTAGTACAAAAAAACACTAAACACATTTAGCAGTAAAATCAGTGTTGAATCTTTATTTGGACTTTTCTACATTAAAATAGGTACAAAATTTTATTTATTTATTTTTTGAATTATGTAATTAAAACAGTTATTAAACAGGTATAAATTGTTTATCAAATATTTGTAATATTAAATTTGTCATTTTATCTAAATATAAGTGGAATTGTATTTTATATTTGATTGTGCTAAAGTACGTATTATCAATATTTCTAATAAAGTACGAACTTCAAACACAAAAAATAAACTTTTCAAAATCACTTTTAATATTAATACATTTTTAAATTAAATATCTTACATTCTACATTACTCCTTTTTCTATCAGCGTTGTTTTATTAATTTTTACCAATTATTGTGACGTCGACAGCTTACACACCATTAGGCAAAATCCTAATGAAAGTTAAAATTTCTACTTTTAAAATACAGTTACTTTACTGTTAATATTTTTTATTTAAAACGTTAGGCCAGTGTTTTACTGAAAATTTCAACAATAAACATTTGGTCTAAGAGTTAAAACTAAGTTATTTATATTTCTTATGGAATGGACAACACTAATTCTAAAGATCTCAATCAACGTTATAAAAAGCAAATATTTATAGCCCATTAATTTTTATATCTATTAATCATTTTTGAGTATTTATAAATTTTATCATTACATTTAATATATAATTAAAAGTACTCTGATGGCAAAAGAAATGTCAATTTGTAAATTACAAAATTTAAATACTGTTAATAATTGGCAATTAATGATTCTAACAATTAACGTTCTTGCTCCGTTCTCGATTCTGAAGTTATTGATTATTTTCTTTTAATTAAATATTTCAGTAGAAACCCACTAACTAAATTCTGAATTTTAGTAGCTGAATACTGGAAATAATTTTAATTTGCTTTATAGCAAAGTCTCATAGTACAATTTGCTGCAGACTGCATTTTTTTATTTTTATAAGTTTGTAATTTAATTGACTGGCAGTTTATGCAAAATTTATTTCATATTTGACATGGATCCGTACAACATGAATCAAATTTGCTAGTTAAAAAATAACACCGTGCACAAAGCGCAACACCAGTAAAATATAACTCGAATATAATTAAAATTCTGTTCGCATCGAGACAATAAAAGAGAAAAGTTTAAATTTTATTTTGATGAAAACATAAAACAATCATCAATCTTGTGTTATAAAATTTTACGAGCTATTTTAGAAAAAGTAATAAAGTCGTAACTATCAAACCAATAACACTCAAGAGACGACTCACAAAGATGATATTTCTGAACGTTTGTAAATGAGCTGCTATAAGTCTTGGAGTGCGGAAGGAAAAGGCACGAATTTGTCTTTGGAGTCGAGCGAGGTTTTTTCATTCTGAAAAACCGTAACATGCGTTTTATGGCTCGTATTGGAAGCTATTAGTTTGACCGTCGTTGCTATCCACAATCATTTTTATAGCCCTTAAAATGACACAACAGCAGGAACTGAAACTGTCCACATTGTAATAACTCAGGTTCACTGTAAACTACAATTATAGTCGCACTGAAATGCCATGAATATTTAGCACAATGCATCTGTGGGAATCTACTAAGAGGTTTTCGTTCGGCGTACATCATTCGAAACTTTAAATTACTACATAAATTTAAAATGCAAAGTGAACTATCAGGCCGAAGTCTCGGTTTCTCATAATTTCCGGGACCGGGTCTACTTTATTTTCAGATTACCTTGCGAATAACTCAACTTGCTCAATTCTCATCCTCATTTCAATTCAGGTATTTTTTTCCTCACGTAGGTGGAAGCGTAAGAATCAAGAGAGATAAACAAAGATAAAGCAGTGCATGGAGCAAATCGTGAAAGGATTTTACAGAGCTCGGTCTCATATCACACCTCGTTAAGCACCCTTCTGCACTCTGACGAGGAATTCCAAAATTGCTGTTGCGGGCATAATTAGTTTTTTCGCGAGTATGAGTTACAAGATAAAGCGGTTTTAAATTAAATTCGTCGCTGGTAATCAACATACACCTATTAGCTTAATGCAATTTGCCTTAGTAAACAGCATCAACGTGCGCTAATATGATGAGAAAAAAGCTAGCCGGAAAAACTAATTCGTTGCTTGTCTGCAAACATTGTCAACTTTGTTAATGTGGCTTTAGTCTGGACAACAGAAACAACCAGTAACTCTTGTCTGAAATTTTCATCAGTCAACAACTGTAACTTTCTAATGTCGGGCTAGAAGCTCATTTGCAGCGTAACTTTCTCAAACAACTATTAAAAACACTAATGTGATCAGCACTGCATCTTCTGTTAACAACAATTTTCATTTCTTGCTAAACAATTTAATTAGATTTGACTGTAACTAAATATTTATTAATCACTTCATACGCTGATTACAACTGCAGCAGTTAATAGATCAGCGTTAATTAGTCACTCCTATTTTAGTTGATATTTTGAATGCAAATTGATATAAATCATTTGCGGAAAATAAATATTAAAACCTAGCGCAGAACGATAATTGCTCTAATCAAGAAACTGATTGAATTATTGCAAAGCTCGGCTGTCAATTAACGCGAGGAGTAATAAATGAAATATTTTAATTCTGATAGGTTTTATTCGACCGTTTTGCAATTACGTGAAACAGTTTAATTCATTTGCGTAGAAAAGTTAAGTTTATAGTTTTATTTAAAAATGAATAGTTACCAATTTGCTGTGGCTGGCGAAAAATTTATCACACTAGCTGTTGCTAATAAGAGTAATAAGATTCCAAAATTTAAAATCTCTTTCATTAAATGTCTTAAAAATAAAATATGTACAATTTTTGAAGACTGCAGTTAACAGCAATCAATTTTTTTACCTCTTCAAGTATTTTTGTCAAACTAAAATATTTTTTTTTGTATACGCTCCCAAAAACAGCTGTTTTAGAGACTCATTTGAGTCCCTAAAATAAGGCTTTTCCGGACTCAATAAAATAGTACGCAAAACGGTTATTTTAGGTACTCAGTCTAGACTAAAGAATAAATTTTTTATTAATTAGTAAGAGGTGTGAATTCGTGTTTTGGGAGCTTTAACAAAAAAATGTTTTATGCACCACGTACGCAAAAAGTTTTAGGAGACTCCTCTCATTAAAGACTCGGCTCCTACGTCGCCTCGTCATTAATTACGATTCGTCCCCTAAAACCCTATTTTGCGTACTTGATACATAAATAACTATTAATTTTAATTTTACTCTATGATTTTGTAGCTCACTGTAAACACATTATAGTACAGGCTGGCATTTAAAAAAAATCCCCAAACAAACTCTATTATTTTTGAAAGATATGACAATACTTTTTGTAACAAAGTTGCACAGTTTGTTGTCATTTATATTGATTGAACGTCTAACCCAAAGAATTGCTCACAATGAACTGTTCAACTTTTTTTATAATTTAGTCTGTATAAAAAAATTTGCTTTTGTATTTTACTGGATTTTTCTAGGGTAGCATATTTTCAATTTGAAAACAAAAATTTTAAAACGTTATAGCTTTGTGTACGGCTTAAAAATTAAAAACTTTTAAAAAAATGATGATTATATTATTTTAATAACAAAAAAGTGAATATTGCCGATANATTCAATATAAATTTGATATGTCTAAAAAATTCATCAAGTTTACCAGTATTAAATCGCAGTGTTGTGTGACTTTGGTATAAATGCAAAAATAAGATTAATTGTTACAATTCATTAACAATTACTCATTGTTTAATTTAATAAAATATATGTAATTGAATATCCAATTTTAGTTTAATATGTTGTTATTTTTTAACTCTAAATAATAATTTATGAGATTCAAACTGCCATCTAACATAGTTAAAATATAAGTTATGGTCTATTAAATGCGAAATGTTTCTAGGAAAATATATCACAAAGCGATAAATTCATATTAAAAGTTTGCAAAGCGTGCTTTAAGCGTATATAAAACTACTAAATGTAAACAAAATGCTCGGATAAACCGGATTTGCATAACCCATTCGAAAGACAAGAAATGATAAACAATTCGACATACATTTCTGTATTTCAAACAATCTCAATATTTTTCGAGTTTTGCCTGTTGGAAAATGTTTCAACAACACTATTGTTAACAGAAATTCCGGCACATGTTTGGCGGAAAATATTTACAGTTGCTTTCAAATGTAGTAAAGTTGTATTTTTTATTTCCAGAGGCTTTTCTGTAGTGGCTCCAGAACTAGCCGTACCTGGAAAAACGACAGCTGTTCTGGTAACTCTACACGGTCCAACGAGTCTCCGACCTCTCAACGTTACCCTCCGGCTCCTTCCAGATGCTCAAAAAGGGACAACCCAACAACTCGTTGAAACCACTCAGGAAATAAGAGGTGAGTAGTCCGATATTAAATTCTGTTCCTGGGGATTAAATATCTTGGAGAATTTCGTACGCGCACAAGTTTTTTATAAATAAAATCAACACACTCGAAACTTCAAAGTTGGAATTAAATATCGAAGCCTCGAATTACTGACACGAAAATACAATTAGATTAGCGCAACTCGTGTGGACCTGAACTTCGATACGATTCTTTAGTTTAAATCAATCTATTTCTCAGACTTGTTTTCCTGCTCCTCGGGTACGAAATTTATTTTTCACCGGAAATTTACAAACAAAAATCGCAAAAAGCTTCATCGATTTCAATACGCAACCGGGTAATTTCATTTCCGGTCTCGGTTTATTGCCATCATGTCGAATTTGACGTAAACAAATTTGGGAGAATCTGTCCACTGGTATGATTGATGACGGCTTGGAAAAACCAAACAAGACTGATGCGACGCGTATATTGACCAAAAGCTGCGTTTTATTTATTTTTACCAAACGTTTCCTACAATGTATTCTTAATTCATCGATCTCGTTTTAACAAAATAAGTTTTCATAGTGTAGAGTGAAGGGTTATGTATGTCGTGAAAATAGCCCAGTTGTCAGTTGAGGCGTTTCATCTGGAAAAGCTTATGTCTTGGAAAAAGTTTCAAATAGCAGCCGTCTATCACACTAAGGACATTGCTGCTTTATGTTGCGTTGTTTATAAAGCAAGAAAATACTTAACTCGAGTGTTATACGAGTGCTTGCAATAAACTGGTATTAGGGTTGTTCAAGAGTTTACCCGATACTGAATGTTTATCCTTAAGCTGATGACGACAATATAAAATAAAAAAAATCTAGAACGTCAAATGAAAATGGAAATTGTAAATTATTCAAATTAGGTATCCAAAAACTAGTTCAAGGTAAAATTACGGAATCGCCTTAAACAAAATTTATTGTTGCTTAACTAAATAAATTTTTAATAGGTAATAAATTAATAATACAGGCTGTTCTGAAATGCATATTCAACACACTAGTAAATGCTGTTTCTTAGTTTTTTTACTGCGATTGTTCAGCATTTAAATTAAAGTTCTGTTGCACTTTTTGGGATTGTAAAAGCATTGTTTTGTATTCTTACTTTAGTGTTACTGTATACAATAACCGAACTTATTCTTAAATTGGGTGCGTTTTCTAGATGAGGCTAACTGGCCATAAACGGGATAAAACCTTCTGTATATAGTTTTTCAATGTTTTGTTTTTGTAACGATTTCAACATTGTAGACACATTTTAACATATGTTAGCTAAATCAAAAAGGCGATATAATTATTCTTGATTATGTTGTCTAATTTTTACTACTACTATTGCTACTTTAATTAAGTTTGCAACAATAGAAAACATAGAGACAAAAGATATGAAATTTTACAAGTTAGGCGGGGGGGAACGGGGCTAAAAGTGACAATTTTATAGCAAAATTCCAAAGCAAAAATGTTAATAATACAAATACCTACTATTGTGCATAATGTGATAAATCTATTCTATGACTGTCCCGACTGATTTATTAACATATTTTTAAGATTTTTTATACAGGGTGTTTTAAAATTCAAGTCACTGAGAAAAATGCCAAGTAAAATAAATACTGGCCTTAGTACGAACGAAAAGTAGAAAAAAAATGTTTATTCACTTTTTTTAGAAAAATATAGACTTGCAAAAAAAGTTACTTGTCGCTACTGGCCTTACTAACTTGACAGATATACGTCTGTCGCTATTATTTACCATTTTACCACCCACCTTAACAATATTTTTACCTCTTTTTTTGAGTTATTTCAATTGGAACAACTTACTTCTATAGCTTTTAGCCCCGCTCTCTCCTACATTTTTTAATATTACCAACAAAATTTCAGGTTACTCTGATCAAAAATGTAAATAAAACCTACCATCTTTTACTTTACTCATGTAAATACTAATAAAACATATTATTATTATTATTGTATTTATTTTTTTGTTTACCGTGCGTTATAAGATAACACTTGTTTACAAATAATAACTTGTTTAATACCTTTAATCAAATTATTGCTTTTATGTTTATTTACTTTCAATTAAACAAAAATAATTGTTGTTTTTTTATCATCTCACATCACAGTTTTTTGTTACGGACGATATTTTTCCTGCTTTCTGCACAAATGCCTCCAATTTAAAATTGATTTAAAATTAAAATTGTTGCTGAATTATTAGAACACTATCACCAGATGAGTTTAAATGGGTCCTAAAATACATTTTACTGACTCGCATTTTGACTTCTTTTCGAAAAATTTAAGCAGAGATGAACAGAAGAAGAGATGCACAGACAGGGCAAGCGTTTTCATCAAAATCTCAAGAGTTTTGGCAAGTTGGCACAATCGTTTTTGAAATGAAAATATGTTAGGGGATTAATGTTGAACTGTTATAAAAAAAAGTATAAAAAACACGGTGAAACAACTCATTTTTAATTTGCTATTTCGCAGTTTTTATTTTTGTTAATTGCATATTTCTTAAACGTGACCTAATGAACTTTTTTAGATATTTTTTTGAACTCAGTACCTCAGAGAAATTTTAACTTTCAGCTAAGGTATAAAAATCGTGTAAACTAATGTAATTTAACAAACATCAATATATTATATAAATATTTCATTTTTGTTCTATTTAAATATTACATTTTAAACACAAATCTTTTTGAGCTTTTTGAGTTATCAATTCCCTTTGTCATGCAGAATTTCGGATTCAATATATCTTTAATGAGACAAGTAGTATACACTCGGGCTTAATCTCAAAATTCTCTCTATATTTCAGATTTTCTTATCCATGCTCGTATTTGACACACTATTGAAACACCTAAAGAGAATAAATTTCAAAGACAGTTACAAATACGAGGCTTAGAATTTGCGTTTGGCTCTTTTCCGTCTGACTTAATGGCCAGGAAATTACAATAATGCTACGAGTGCAAAGAGCGTAAGAACAAGAAGCAAAGGAAATTAACTAACGGTAGTTCATCAGCTAGGCCTAGACGAATTAACGCCGCTTTTGGAATTTATGTGAAGAGTTGAAGATAATTATTTCAACGCGTTGTAGCCCTGACATAATTTTATAATCAACCAAAAATCGACATCACCGTTATTGATAAAAGCGAAACTTTTCATCATTCATTTTTAACCCACACGAAATAAACACAGTTGTTGGAACAAATGAATAAACGCTATAAAAAATTTATTACATGTTTTCAATTACAACATGCGATATTGCAAACTTTTTTATTTTTAGCCTTTGGATTAGCCTGGCTTTTAAATCAAAGTAGAACATTTTACACCAAGTAAAAAATTTATGGCGAGGCTGAAATAACAAAGCATGACAAAGCTACGAGAGTTGAGCTTTTGGATAATTATTCTTAATGTTTCAAAAAATACTATAACATACGTGTCATTTTATGTTTTGCCTGATGCAAACAACAGTTCATTACGAAAAAGGTTTTTAATTCAGAAGTTCAAAAGAGACGTCATAAGCTTATTTAATGGTCAATTCGTTTACTTGACCTTAATCCGACAAACTCCAATCTGCAACGTTCACTCAGAATTAAGAGCCAATGCAATTTACAGAGAATTACATTGATTTTCTAAAAAACTGTAACAGAATTGCTTATTTACTCAAAATGTTCTTAATGATGTTTACATTTTTTATATAGGTATAATGGGGTAATCAGAAATAAACCTCCATGTTTTTGCAGATCTTTTGTTTTAAATTACAAGAAATGCTTTCATGTTTTGTGGTAATTTAGGCAAATAATTCAAATGTAGTTACCGGTTTTTAAATACAAAATACATTTTAATCCAGCCTGATGATGTGTACATCAAACAGACTGATCCAAACTTAATGGATGGATTTGGAGTCTCTAGAGTCTCGTTAGTGATAATCGTCTTTACATTAGCCTTTGTGAGAGTAATATGTTAATTTATTCATCATTTTGTCATTAGTCGCTTTAAATACAAGACAAAAAAGATGTGTGTTAATACCACTTTTTTGAGATGTATTCACCTAATTATTATTTCTTATTAAATTGATTTGAATGGAATAGAAGAACAGCAAAAGCGATGATTTAAAGAGAATCATTAATCAAGTCTTTGTTTTGTATTAATAGCGATAAATCATTTATGATATTTTTACCAACTACTACAAATATTTCTTGTGTTACTTGAAAAAAACTTTTGGGGAAACAAATGTGGTGGAAACACGGCACGTTTAAAGACGAAATTAGTTTAAATATAGACGGAATTGGATTTTTGCTCAGTGTGGAAGGTATTCGGTAGGAAGAGGAAGTAATTTAATCAGAAGTAGACATGCATTTTATTATCATTATCCCGAGATTGAAATTTGTCCAAAATTACCGTATCATCTGAAACTGATACGGCTTATTAGTCAAATACATCCGTATCAGTCGAAGGCTGCCTCTGTCTATTTATATTAATTAATGGACGTACGTGGAATGAATGTTGATGAGATTTGCCTAATATTGATGGCGAAAGGGGGTTGAACTAATGGTGAAATAAACACATTCCGTTTGCTAATGAGGAAGTTTCTACATGTGTAAACCATGTTCAGCTGGGAAGCTGATGAACACACAAGGCCCTTGACGAGCTTCGGGGGGAGGTTCGCAAATTAAATCTTGCTCGATTAGAAAGCAGTCAGCTGTAGGCAGCAGTTCGTCTAGTTTCACGAACCAGCGGGCCGAAAGATTGTCATTTCGCTCAACACCGCCAGAGGGAGCATCTCTTTGCGTCAACCGCGTAAATTTAGCACTAACATCATTTTCGCTATTTTATGCCTCATTTACATATATCGATACTTTGGCAAATTAAACGCCCATTTTTGTGCACTTTGCACTTACTCTACTGAAAAGGAATAGTTTTTGCAAAGCCATAACACGAGAATAGCATTGTACCAATGAGAGTAAAAAAATATTCGAATATTTTATTGGCATTGCAACATAAACTTTATTAACA